TTTCTGACAGTTAGACAGTGTCAGACCTACACCTAATATCAACTGTTTTCTAAGATACACATATTTGCAAAGAGTATTCAATTTTTCAATTCTATACATACCTAATTATTGTAAACTGAAGTGAAGGTGATTTAAAAGGCTTATTCATAAATATTTTTAACTTGACTTTTAATAGATTTGCACTTCAATATTTATTTATCGAATGAGTACGGGAGATATTTTGATGACGTAGTAAATACACCTTTGGATCAACACAGGGACCTTATAAGCCTGAAAATAGCTTTACTGCCTCATTTCATTTACCTTAGGGTGGATGCCTTTCATCTTGAACGAAGAATCAATTTAGAGGAAAACGGAAAAGAATTAAATTACATCCATGTTGTTTCTGTATTTTTTAAGCATAATTTACATCTACAGTTTTTGCACCTTTAGAGCTAAACAAGAATAAATATATGATTCCACCTATTAAATGATAATTTTCATCAAAGTTAAGCTTTTAGAATGAAATAGGTAGATATAAGAACTAAAGCAAAACAGCTGAATGTCGTAGAGATGTTCTATTCTATGGACAGAACTATACTATTCTTTGTTCTTTCCAGTGCGTGCGATTTTAGGTCATATAATGTGAGAGAATATATATATATATATATATATATATATATATATATATATTTCCACACTCATTATTTTCATCGTTATATCCTTTAAAGCTGAATTCGGTTCACAGAACCAAAACTAGTTAGGTTTTACCGTTAAGCATATTCACTAAAATCATAAACAGACCTTCTATAGTGCGTCTTCTAAACGAAAAGGCAGTAAATTGGAATTCTACTAAAGTAATGAATTTGTTTATACCTTAAAATCACTTGAATGGCTATTGTCATAATGATCTGTTTAAAGTAAGGTAGCGAATAAATACACTTACTGTAAATTTATGAGATGAAAATGACTATAGCAGCTTGGTGAGTAATGAACGTCATACTAATGTTTAGAGAACAGTTTTATATCTGGAAATATTCCCTCATAACCTGTTAGATGTCATGCTTCCTGACGTGTTCAAGAAGGAGAGTGTTTACCATTAATTTCTTATGTTATTTAACAATGAATAAAAGCAGCTTTTGAAGAATACCCCTTTACCATATCAGTCCTTAATTAGTCAACTCTAATAAGAATAATAATAATGATAATCACTTTATTCCAGACAATACGCTTAATACATTATGAAGTTCTGAGCGTTCAGTATCCCAATACTTTCAGACGAAATAATTTACAGGATTTCAATTATATCAGTAATGAAATCAATATAAGCCATAAGATGTTACAAACAGCTGTTTACAGGTTATCGTTCAGTCTATGAGTATATTGCTGCCTGGGCACAACAACAGAAAAATCTACTTAAGTCTCATGATACAGGTTCATTCAGCCAGCACGGAAATATGCAGCTAGGTCTATATAATATGTTGTTGTGTACTTTCAGATACTTTACTTATTAACGCGCTGTATTCTTCTAGTAACTTACAAACTTGAAAATGGTAACATTTTAAAAATGCGACAGAGTACATACATTACGATTTGAGGATATATCTACTGTCTCTGTGACATGTATCCAATCTATCCACTTAATGTTAGCGTTATTCATCCTAACACAGGTAAACAGTGGTAGCAGTAAGTTACGGCACTAAGTCAAATTCTACAACGTTGACGGTTTACATTTCAATTTAAATGATCATTCGCTTAAATCCAGTCCTTATCGCATATTTTTAACTTGGTAATTCACAGTACAATTTTAATCCAGACATTCATCAGGAATTTCATGGGATTTACTATTACAAGCTTAAGGTATCCGAAAGATCACTAAAAAGAAATTTAGTTTCAGTGATCTATTTTGGCCTCTTTTCAAACTTTTCTTCAGTGCTTAGTTTGCATATCAGTGATCACTAAGGTTGGAGTCCCTGAGATGAAAAGAATAAACAGTGTCTTAGCTGGGAATCGGTCACAATGATGCAGATGTATTCAATTCTCGAGATCTTATAAACCCATGAACAGTTACACTTTGCTTTGTTGTCAAATTGTTTATTCTCCCACACTATCCACCTCTTCTTTTTAAACTACTGTGAATTGTTGCAACTTGAGTGGACGCACTTGTGTGCGATGTTCTACGTTGTTTTTGTCAACCAGTCAGTCAGTCATTAGATAGGGTTGTTTGATATGATTTGATAGCAGTTTCACGCCTGAAGATCAGGGTGGTATTTTAATCTGGTTGTAAGGTTTTTTCCTAGAGAAGTGAAAGATCTCATTAAATGCATCATTAATCTAAACAGTCAACAACTAGATTTCTGCAAACCTGATAACTTTGAAGTGTGTAGCTTTAAAGGTGGTGTTTAGTAAGGTGAATGTCATCTAAGAAAATATAACTTTGAAAAAGTTTTCGTTTATTAACATATTTCATCCTATGTTGAGTGCAGAAATACTAAGAATTCAAATATGATATTGAACAGCATGAATAATTAGGAACCACTCAGGCTCATTTGCAGATTTCATTAGCCGAGTTAGAGTGAATAGATCACTGGATGGCCATTTTACCTGTCTGGGACCGAAATTATCATCGGTATACTTGGATACATTCAGCTTTTACGGCCGAATTACTTTAGATCACCTGAATCTGACTAGTTAACTTATGTGCACCAGTATATAGTAAGTGGGATGTACAATCTATAGATGATATATAAAATTCATGGTCAATGCTGACATTTTTCATAGCTGATTAGTTTTTCAAATGATCCAAACTGTTTTACCAGTCATGAAAGTTGCTGCTGAAAACCACCCAAGAACACACTGTGTGTTTTGTGCCCCAATAGTACCACTAGCAAACAAAATATATGTACTGCTGAAAGACATTAGCAGTTAGAGACCAGTAAGGCTAAGGTGTAGATTTTATCAACCAGATCAGAGTGTCTTATTCGCTTGATGGCGTTTCTGAGTCAATATTTCCGTATATTTCAGCGTAAAGTATAAACCACAGTGTTAAGCGGTTTACCAAAATTGATTTCAACTCTAGCTGATTATTATGTCATTCCATGAAACATTCACCATTAATGGATATTTTGTCTCTGAAGCTGCTAAATAGTTTATGGTGCTACCTACACTTTCTTTAGTACACTAGTTATTGCCATTATTGACGGCATAGTGTATTAATGCTGTTTGAGAAACATTTTAAATAATATAAAGGTAAAAATTGATGAATGTGGTATAATGAACATTGATGCATTAGATGCATCCCGCAGTAGAACACTATTACTTAGTGGATTGCATTTTGGACACGATTTATTGTCTATAATCATACCACAATCAATTAAAATGGAAGATATTGAACAGTTTATTTCAATATCAAGAAGCCGTTCAACAGGAAATGAAGGATAGCCTCGTTAACCTTACCTCTTCATTCCGCATATATTAATTAAACTGTTGCTTTAGTACAAGTTACATAAGGCGTACGAGTAGGCAAGTGCGTCTCCGGATAGAACAGTATTTTCTAGCTTGGTTAAGATAAAGTGAAGTGAAAGTGGAGAAACGTCTCCTTCCTAGCACATTACTAGATACATGAAATCATATGGATGTTAATAAATGTTTCATTGTCATACATCCTGTTCCAAAAAACAATACCATGTGCTGTTTATCAACGCCTTCTCAACATGTCTTAGGCTGTTGCAATAAGGTTGATCAAACCTGAACTATGCATTCAAAAAGACATATGTTCAAATGTTATTCCTCCCTTGGCCTTCAATAAACTAAATGCCAATCCTGTCTTCTTCACTCGTAATCTTTTCCTTTATCATCACATTATTCATCGGTATATATATCATCTCAATAATGACAAATTTAAAGAAGAAAAACTGACTTACTTACAATCCCTAAATGTTACTGCCTTTTTAAAATTTATTTACCTCTAAATTGACTTGTTTCTACGCTGTACAAATGTATTTTATAACTCCAGAACCTGATGGAAATTTATTGAGAAGACTATTCATCGTTTAGATTGTGATTTTTATTAATGTTACAGGAACCTCTTGGTTGTGCACCTTTTATGAATAGAAAAGTAAAAGCTGGGCAATATGTTAGAATGTAATTCCATTTTCACTGATTCATTAAATGTTTCACATAGTGGAATAGTATTATTTACTGGACTTTGTTTCGGATAAAATTTATATTGTCCATAGTTATATCAAGATGAAATGACTAACAGCCTGTTCACTAAGTTTAACGTGATATTTAATTATATTATAAGCTAAGATTTCAAAAACTTTTAATGTATTCCTAAATAAATAAAATATTGGACATAATATGTGGGGGCTTTGTCAGCTATATTAGAAAATATGAAGATTTATAGTTAAATTCAATAAAACCCTTTATATAAGCCAGTATTCTTGGTGGATGTTTACCATTTACAAACGAATATATATATTCTTATGAAATAGAAACCGATGATGTATTTCACTTGAAATTTACTAACTTTCTACCATCGATACAAATAAAAAGACTTTTCACTTCGACACGGAATCATTTCAATCATTTAAATAGTACGATAAAATGAAATTGAGCTGTTTTCTTGTCATTTTCATCTTTATCTATGATAATAAACAGTGTTTACACGACTGCTTTATGTTGTTCGACTCTTTACACTATTATTATTAGTAGACATTCAGTTATGCTGACATGAAATATTTCGATGCCTCTCACTGAAACTCTTCGAAATCTATTTCATCCCATCTTTCATTCTATACTATGAAAACTATTAAAACAAAATTATTTATCGTTTGATATTAGCTGTGCAGTGGAAAAATCAAGTACTTTTCATATTATACAAAAGGAGCTAATTTTTCCAAAATACAATATAGGATGAATTACATATTTTTCAATGTTATTAAAAAATAAAGAGGAACAATGAATCTATTTACTATGGATAGTTATTAACAAACAGAATTAGTTTACCAACCACTTACAAGGTATAGATAATACAGACGGTTGAAAATTGGTTTCTTCTACGGTCAAGCTGGCTGATACTAGAAGGTAATAGATGAAGTTTGTGAATAATTTATTCTTATCACTGATATTTCTAAAAGCGTAACCTGTAGTTGGCTTCTATTTATATTTGAATGTATTTTAATTATTTGTAAATGCTTGTGATAAATAAATAAACATACAAGGTATATGGATATCATGAGGAAGAAATTTTTTCATTGGTTAGTTCTAAATGTTTTTCCTTACTATATTTTGTTTCTATATTTGCGAAGCGTGGGGTCATGATTCTTATAAAATAAAGATATGTTTCATTTTCCGTGAGTGTGTATATGGTTACAATGAATCTAGTTTGATCATTAGAAGAGTGCATAGTTCTGTTGGAAGTAGGTTATATAGTAAGGTTAAATGGATTGTTTATGTCGACGCAGATGTCATCTCATAAAAGCACAATAAAAGGATACTTTGGTATATTGAAACACATAAATTATTCGTTGGTTTTTAATACTATTCGAGGAAAATTTAGGTGGGCATAATAAAATATGACATTTTTTCCATTTTCTGAAAAAAAAACGGGGTGATATAATTCTGAGGTGCGATCAACGCAAGTCACCGTTGAAAATATATACAAATCTATGTAATTTTACATTGATTAGTCACTAGAGGGTAGACAACTTAATATCTAGTCCTAAGTGCTGCTCGGATTACGTGGATGATTTTGCAAGTGTGGCCACCTGGATAGGCAACTAAACATCGCGATGCACTCTGATAGATGTTAGTTGGCTGTAGGCAAGTTCAGGTCTGTAGGAGGTCAGTCGTGGTCGGAACAGCTCAGCAGTAACATCTCTGGCTTTAGAACTGAATGACACGGGTTTGAATCTTAATCTACATTGAATTCGCAGATACGCCTTGGTGACGACTGCCAGAAAAGCACAAAACCTAGGTTGACCATGGCTTCCTGCTGATTGCCTCCATCTGGCTAACATATACAATTCACGCATGTGTCTTCTCATATCATTTTGACCTGACGTTGAATTTAAGCGCATCCATACAATTTAAAAGCAAACTAAACAAGAAAAATTGCATTCAGTAACGATATTGGCAAATTATATTGGAATCTTAGATGGGCAGGCTTTTTATTTAATGTCACCTCAGTTTACGAGAATCAAATAAAATTCTTGGAAATCTAATGTGTTTTATTTCTGAATCGTCACTATTACCACCATATGTTATGGACTTATAATTGGTTTGACAAAGCTTTAGGTTTCCGTCTGTTATTTATTATTTTATTATTATTTGTCTCTTGGGTTCCCAGCGAAACATAAAGCTTCACTGTCACGTCGCCATTTCACTCTCTTCTCTGCAGTCTTTTCTACGACTGCCCATAAGCTTTCACTTCTTTTTCACACGACCTCCTCCATGCCACCCTCGGACGTCCAACTCATCGTCTACCACACGGGTTCCACTTGACAACCTGGCCTGGCGCCCGATATCCCCATACGGTCTTCTCATTGTATGTCCAGTTCATTCCAATGCATTTCCACTTTATTCTTCTGCATATTTGTTGGACGATAGGTTCTTGGTTGGTTCATTGCCAGAGTTCCTTATTACATATTCTTATTATTCTGGCTATCTGATCTTCATTATCGAACAAGCGTAGGCAGTAGCTGTTGATGATGTAAGTCTACAGTTTGTTGGAAATGCCTTTCGAAATGCACCATCTCTGAACCATTTAGAGGCAGTGACTTGACATTACTTTTGAGTCAGCTTTACTAACTTACAATTCTTTGAAAAACTTTATTTACAAATATCTGCATTCTTATTTGTATCAGCTGTATAAGAAATTTCTTCAGTCGCTTTCAAAGCCTTGCAATGAGATCGGGTTGCAGGTAACGTTTCCAGTTAGTGACAATTATAGTGGCCTTATTCTAGAAGATATTTAGGGAATAGCGTACAGAATTTTCAGCATGTCATATACCATCAATTTGATAGCAGTGGTGTATATGTATACGTAATAAAGTGAAATAAGTATGAGTTACATATGAAAGAGAAGAATATTTACTTCGTCTACAACTTTCTTGAAAATGAAACGTTAACTTAGGTAAACAATCAGATTCATAATACATAAATAACAGTAACATGTGTAGTTTTGAGTTAGTTTGCTTTCAAGAATAAAAATTGGATAGTTGTTTTACTTCTAATACTTTCTTCCTCCCACATAATGTGAGCTTGATACGGTATTATGGAGATTTAATATTTACTAGCAACTCCATAAAATCTTATATACATGCTCCTAGTCTTTCATGACGACCAACATGTGAAGAGCTTTCATTGAAGGGGATACTGGTCATCTGATAAAACAACCGCTGCTAGATGTCTACATGAGTGGAAATGTTTGTCCTCAATAGATTTAATTAGAAGGTTCAGAGGTACACCACTAGTTCTCCAGATAATCTTTGAAGTTCTGCGCAATATACGATAGCATTTTTTCCAACCACCCAAGTGAGAATAAAGGAGAATAGTAGAGGGGAATAAGGAAGATGCAGGAGTTTATAAAACACAAAAAAGAGGCTAAGTTGTACCAGATACTCTCAGCTTCCTACATAGAAAGTTAGGTGGCGAATCCATTTGGAGACTAGTAAGATATGGGAGGATCGGGAAAGGTCTAAAGAAAAAAACACGGGATGAGTCACACTTGTAGCATTCTCTAATATACAACCAGTGAAAGAACGGGAATCGCGAGACCTGAGCAGTTTACACAGGTTATGTTCGCACCTTAAACTAAAGTTTATAGTCTGATATTTTGAAGAATTAAGCACCAGAACATTCACGGAGGAGCATCTCCCAGAAAAGGAGATCTTGGGACAGAATCAAATGCTGAAGTGTGGTCTAAAAACGCACATCCGACATATATGGCATTTCTTTAGAGATTATGAGCAGTATTTTGATATAAAATGGTGGTGGCATTCAGAGTACTTCTTTTTCCTTTGTATGCAAAACGTTCAATGAAGATTCGAGCACAGGTACCATGAGCTTCTCTATTATTTTCAAGAACGGGGAAGTAAATGCAGTCGGACGGAATTTCAGACATGCGCCTACAGTCAACAACTTGGGTACCGGGACTATCTTGTTATCTTTCCAGGTAGCTCGTATGGCTTTTTTGAAAAGCATCTATCAAGTATTTTAGTTGATGGATGGCATAGTATTTCAGCACACTTCGTCAATGCGAAACTTGACACGCCATCCGAACGTAAACTGTGTGAAGGGTTCAAGGATTTGAAGCATTTTAAAACATCTTTCTCAGTGAATTTTGGACAACATTAGTCATTGGATTTATGTGAGTGGAATAAGATAAAACCGTCGAGTTGGCGATTTGTACTCTTCTGAGTTTAATATCTACCAGTATCATTGATGAATATCAAGTCTAGTACTGCGTCTTGTCGTGGTGTGAAGTTAACGAGCTTTCAATGGTCGAAAATTGTGCAAAAGCTGTGAATAAAACAATTGAAACCACCACATATTATCGACAGCGAACCACCTAGTATGGGGGGGGGCGTGAATTTCAGGAACATTTCAGAGAAACTAGACAGTTTAAAGTAACTGCAGTCAGGCGCCGCATAAGTAATTGTGATATAAGTAAGGCGCTACCTGTCTAAATGTGTTGGGCGGTATTTACAGTGATGCAGTCTATGTAGTCATTTGGGAATTTGAAGCATGTAACTTAAAATGCATCAGGGGGTATTAATGAAGAAAGCTACACCAACTACACATTTCTGAGTGAAGCTGCATAGATCCTGACGGAAGATTTTGAAACCTTTAAGAGGAACTAAACTGTTATCATAGAGACTGTCTATAAGTTCCTTGTAACGTAATTACTTCAGCACTAAGTTGCACATTGGAGGATAAAAGAGATTGTAAAAACATCCATTTTCCCCCTAATGATCTGCTGTTCATGCTTTGAATTTCAAGCAGTCACTTGAGCTGAAGTTATTCGCTCCAAAGCAAGTTGCCATCCACCGTGATGCTTATACCTCGTCCTAGTTCATACAATTCTTTCCCTTCATAAACGTAAGTAGAGCGAGAACAACATCTTTAGCACAATAGTATGGATCCATTTTGTTTTGTGGTTCTTCATCAGCTCCTTACAACCTAAACCAATTCTAACACCAACTTGCATAAGCGTTTGCGCATTTCAGTCATTTTCATCGAAAACTGTCGTTTTGAACTGAAAATGATACCATTAAGAATTAATCGGAAAAATATGAATTGAGTAAATAAATATACAGAACTAAGTTTGCCAATATATAGAAGGATTCGACAAATATTCTAGAGCAGAAGTTGGTTAAGAGGAGAAACAAATGTATTCAATATATTGTGAAAGGTTGCACGAGATATGTGAAAAGTCATAAGATTTATACTAAGTAGTAGCTAATATGATTAGAATTCAGATAAGTAGGTGAAGAGTGTGAAGTGTAAAACAACAAACAAAAAGGAGACTCAGCTTGCATGAATCAACGACGATATGCAAAACAGCATGATGATCGTCAACAAACCGTGGTAGGCATAGAATGATAACTGTTTCTGTCTGAACACACAAGTTTGGTTTTCATCTTTAATAGGTTAACGCTTCGGTGAAACATAACAAATTTGGATTCATCCATTTATTAATTATTTTGGACGACATCTAAATACCTATTTCATACCCCCTCTCAGTGTGATGACAAGCAATAGTGTTTTTGGAGACTTTTCCACCTCTCAGCTGCAAATTCCTTGAAATATGTTCAGAAATACGGTCATAAAAACTCTTCTTTCTGTTTGCCCACTTCGGAACGTACATGTAGGTTGGTAGATGCAGTTGGAGGTAACATGAAAAGAGGACTTGTCAACCTTTGGTTGTCTCAGTGACCTATTCGTCCGGTGGGGTACGACTAACTTAGCAGCTGGATAATTCCTTTATAGTTAACTCTACGGGAAAAATTATCACCTTCGTAACCGAAATTTAGGAAGTTTCATTTAGAAATTTCCTCACTTACTGCTATATACTTTTCGATGAGTTAAATTCTAGTGAAAAGGACTTTTCAGTTATAGTCTGTTTTTCCCTACGAAGTGTTTTGAAGTATACTAAGCTTTTTAAGTTACATGAA